TATTATCTGTGTTTCTGTTGGGCCTGCCGCTGTGGTGGACGACAACACGCGTATACCGCGCCGACCTTCCCTCTACCGAAATTGCACAATACACACAAGCCGATGCACTGGAAATCCCTTTCACCTTTTACGTCGATTCGCCTGACATTTCGCTCAATGAAGTGCAGAAGCTGGTTGACACAAAACTCGCAAAGAGCAGATTGCCATACAAGCCCGACGAATGGCGCGTCGCATTTACCGCCCAGGTGCAACGTGGCCTGGCGCCCGATCTACCCGGCCATTACACTGTCGAGACACAGGAGGAAGTCAGTGCAACAGTGGGGACTGCCCGGTCGGCACAGATTCCGCTGGCCAGACACGGCAGACACCAGTGAGGCTGTTGCCAAATGGATCGCACGCATCGTGGCAAAAGAAGAGCGCGAGGTACGCAGACCTGAGGGCCGTGCACTAAAGTACTCGCCAGAGTACGCTGTCACATTCACGCTGATCAACGAGGATCCAACCGGCGGACTATCAGTGGACTGGGAGATCGAGCAGGCGCTGTCCGCCTACCTGCAGCCATTCATTGATATTGTCAGACCGCTGACCAAGCTCTCAGTATCCTCACAGGTCTTGCACCACGCCGGCCCACTGCCAGTCACCCCCCAGCGTGCCGCCAACTACACGTATCTGACCTCAGATGCCCTGCCACACTTTATCAACTCCGCCAGCTGGAACCTAGCATCAACCGACCCGGTTTCACCGATGCTCAACTTTATTCTGTTTGTGCCGAAACGTGACCTGCAACCCATGCACATTCTTGACGACCACCGCACACAGTCAAAGACCAACGCATTCTTGATCCCGCAATGGGGCGGCATTGCTGTGGCCAATTTCCCCAAGACCGCAAGTGGCCAGATAGTGGTCTCACAAGGAGACCTGCGGCCGTACATGGGCGTCTTTGTTGCCCAGCTGCGCGAACTCTTGGGAATCCGCAGCGACACGCCCCTGCCGTCTGTCAAGGGCCGTGTGAACGTACAGCGAGCCACCGCAACGGGCATCAGCGGGTGGGAATATGATGCGCTGGCAAGACGCTGGCTTGCAAACAACCGCCAGACAGCCGTCACCACCCTGAAGTCGCTCATTACCTTAGTCGAGTCTATGCAGAATATGGTCGTCATGGATAGCATTAAAGGGCAAGTCGATGCTTCGCTTGCAGCACTAGCTAAAATCACTCGCGCACACGTTGCCCATGACCATGCCCGCGCATGTCAAGATGCTATCGTGGCGGCAACAAAGGCAGAGGGTGCGTTCTTTGACCCGTCCATGGTTTCAATGCTGTACTTCCCCGATCAGCACAAGTACGCCATTTACCTACCGTTCTTTTTGCCTGTAGCCATCCCGCTCTTCCACGCCATCAAGCATGTCATCAAAGATATGAAAGCCAGGCGTAAGAGTAAAACTGAATAAACCTTTGCTCTAAGACCAGCAGCTGTAGACTACAATTGCCTCTTTACTTTATGAAGATCATACGATGGCAACATAGACATTGAAGGAAATGCAGCAGGATAAGATGTCGGTATTCAAAAGGGGAAAAAAGGCAGAAGCAAAAGTCGACGCCTGCAGGATTCGAACCTGCGCGTAGAAACTACAATGCCTTAGCAGGGCATCGCCTTAACCACTCGGCCAAAGCGTCAAAAACCGGCGCTTAACTCAGCTAATCCGATTTATACTCTGAAATTTTTCGTATTAATGCTGAGTACTTTCTCCCGGTAAACATATGGAGCTAGCCAGGCAAAACATATAAACCTGACCTGGACTTGGGTGATAGCTCAGGTACTACGGTTGCGATGGGCTCCCAGGCTTTAGCAAATGAATCTTCATGGCTGTGTGGACAATTCTGCGCCAGTTCCCAACTGGTACCTATATTTCTTAGTAGCAATAACTGAACTGCGAATCGAATTATTATTCACTTCTAAGATGAAAAGGTAGTTCACATGAAATGATGTTTATAGTGAGACCAGTTGGGAACTGGCGCAGAATTGTCCACACAGCCATGAAGATTCATTTGCTAAAGCCTGGGAGCCCATCGCAACCGTAGTACCTGAGCTATCACCCAAGTCCAGGTCAGGTTTATATGTTTTGCCTGGCTAGCTCCATATGTTTACCGGGAGAAAGTACTCAGCATTAATACGAAAAATTTCAGAGTATAAATCGGATTAGCTGAGTTAAGCGCCGGTTTTTGACGCTTTGGCCGAGTGGTTAAGGCGATGCCCTGCTAAGGCATTGTAGTTTCTACGCGCAGGTTCGAATCCTGCAGGCGTCGACTTTTTGCTTCAGCTGTATTTTAATCGATCCTCGCACATTTTACCTTTTTTTTTTTTTTGTATCGTCATTTTGCTCCAGCTGAACATTTAAAATTGTGTACTCTTCAAATGAGCACGATTACTTGCAAAAACATCAAATTCATCGTTACTTGGCATTTCAAAAATAAAACAGCGGTTGATTAAAGATATAATTGAGAATACTAGAAATACTCTGCTCGCGATGCGAGCTCAGCTGCTAGCCAGCATGGGTTGACACGTCGATAAGAGCATCACGGCGAACCGGTCATTTGAACATGTCGGATGGCTGTTGGTGCAATGTCGATCATGGACATCTCCAACCTTGGTGGCCGTAAAGCGATGGAACCGTTCAGGAATACTGCCTGAATCACAGAGTGACTGGAAAACGAGTCTGAAGTTTAGAATTGCTGCGAGATCGCGGTTCAAGAGCCGAGACGAATAGGCTCACCTGTATTGTGCCATGGCCTGCTTACATGACTCGCTTGTACAGCGGAGAAGGTCATGGCACTTCACAGTTGGGTTCTTCGATCTCTGGTAGGGCCGCGGGTTGGGAACATGCCGGAATGTCTGCAGCGACTTTTCGCAGGCAGAACGGGCACATCGACGATGTCCGGAATTCGTCGATCAGATAGACTTCAAAGCCATGGTGCTTGAACTTGTCGCGCCATCCCTTGCCACGAATCGGCGCATGGTGTCGGGCCATCGGCGCACTCCAATTGCCCATGATCAGCACTGGATCTGGACCGAACTTGCTCCGGAGTTTTGCGGCAAGCCTGTGGTCTGCACGGGCCTGGTTCATGAATGAATCAAGGCGCAGCTTGCGGTGAAGCGGGTACACCTTGGGACTGGTACTGACACCTGGATGGGCCTTCCAGCGCCTTTGGTGCTGCTTGTTTGACTTAGTGGGCTGCTGCTCTGGTAACCTTCGCGCTGTCATCGTGTTGGCATAAAACGGTGCTAGGACACACCGCACAGATGCACGGGCAGCAACGTAGGCACGGAATTTTGCTGGGCTAAGGGTCTGGCAGCAGTGCTTGGAAAGCTCTGCCTCTGCTCTGCGGACAGCATCTTCTGGGACTTGATCCTTTGTACCCCGACGAATCCTGTCATAGTGGCGCAGCTTGAGCTCCTTATTGCGCTGCTGTCGTGTGTAGCGGTAGAGCATCTTTTCACCCTCTTTCCCATTGCTGCTATTTTCGTGCATCATATACAGTGAATTGCCCCGACCTGGATCGATGAATACACAGCGGCCTTTCAGATTCTGCAGCTCTGGCTGTGGGGTTTGGTGGATATAGCGACAGTCAGCTATAGCATTGCCTCCCACAGCACCACCTCCTGCAACATCGCCTGTAGCATTGCCTCCCACAGCATCGCCTCCTGCACCATCAGCATCTACTGCACCATCAGCCTTGGATATCTTGTCTTGCAACAAAATGCATATCGTTACAACCATCTGTTGTTGCCATTCCGTGGAATTTTCTATCACCATGCGCCTTAAATGGCTTTGATGTTAGATCTGCAACCCGGCCCCACACATCCCACACAGATTGTGTGATCCCTTGGACCGGGTCGTGTGCACAGACTGGGGGTGCTGGTGCATATGCATTGTTAAGTGCTGCAACAGTGTCTGCTGCTGCCGCTGATACACCAGCAAGTGAATCAGCCGCTACTGCCGCAGTTGCTGCAGTGGCCTCTGTTGCATCCGATGGCATCTTCGCTGCTTCGCGTGCAGCCTTCTTGGCCAATTTTTCGCCCTTTTCTGCTGCTTTCCTTGCCTCTGTTGCTGCCCTCTTTGCTGCGTTGATCTCTGTAGCGTGCTCGCGTGTTTTCGAAATAAACACCTGCTTGATTATTTGCTTGTTTAAGCGCACATGGCCTGGGATCTATGATGTCCGCAGAGGCAAGCATTGGGGAGGAGACTTGCCAAGCTGCTCATTCTCGATAAGCTGGCATAGGTGAATGTATGCATGAAGATGCTTAAGTGGATTTACCTTGGCATCGTAGTATCTGCTGTCTTTGGCTAATCTGTACTTGGCATCATAGGCATTAAGGACTGGTGCCAGCTTTGTTGTAGATTGCAAGCATCGGTGGGGTGAGCACACTGAGATCAGGGTGCCTAGAGGCAACTGCCTGGCAGAGCTTCTGTGCAGGTGTATAAATATTGCATGACCGCTAGAAGAGCTATATGGCCTCATTCAATAGGTGCTCATGAATGAATATCCTAAGAGTGTTGCGCAGCCGGTGATGACCACCATGATGACGCCATGGAAGTTATCAGGCCGACCGACAATGAGAGCAGCTCTTGCATTGAACCAATAGAGATATCTAGTGGAGACCTATGACTACTGTAATACCAGCTTGTCACCCTAGTTTCACCAATGAGGTCAGATGCTGCATAAGATCAAAAGGAGTTTATAGAGTAAGCCACCCAAACTCATATTGAAGCTTAGGAGTTTTTTTTTAACAAGTTAAAATGGTTCTAGCAGATAGTCAGATACGTTTTGGATTATAAAACCTTATATAAAGGTAAAATATATGGTAATGAAGGTAAAGATAAAGAAAATTTGGTATTGTTTATATTAACTATCCTTGATTGGACTATACTTATAAATCTCTTACCCATATTGTATTATCTCATATGTAGTCCCTTACATTCAGTAAATGTTCTGTTTGTCTATTCATTAAGAATCATCACTTCCTGAAAGACGATCAATTATAGTTGCAAACTTTAAGAAGTACATGTTGTTCTCCATTTTTTCATTGGAGAGCTCTTGCCAACGCTTCGACAAGGTGCATTGGAGCTCGGCATCCCTTTTAATGAACTCGGAACTGTCGATGCTTTGCTGCACATAGCTCTGTGAGGTTCAGCCTATACTCGTTCTGGAAGTCAGCTTAGATCTGAAACTCCTTTGTGATGAATCTCCATCAAATGCCTAATTATCGCATCGTAGACAAGCACATGGTTTCTGCTCATGCACTCCCTTGCCTGTCCGGTTGTCTTGGCATGATTCGATGGTGCTCAGTTTACTGGTGAGAATCATTTCTCCTTTGAGCTCATTTGGAAGGGGTGCCTTGACTTTGCCTGCCACCAGAACGCTCTCTTGTTCGATAGGGTGGCGACCCTTCATCTGCTCTTGTGATTTGGCAACTGGTGTGGCTATTCCTAACCTACCCTTCATAGCCATTGCTTGTGCCGCTGCACGCTGGTCCTGCCTCGCGAGTGCTGCTGGCCGACGACTGCCAGCCATCAGTGCTGTTCTTGGGTGGCTCTGGTGGTCTGTATGTGAAAGCGTTACACCTCGCTGCAGCGCTTTCGTCATAGTCGATGGCCCGTCTGTATGAGTGCAGTGATGTTTGGTTGATATTCTTATGTATTTAGAAATAATACAACGACATTTAAGTGAAAACACATATATACTTCTCCCACAGCTTGCTCGTAAGTGCCAAGGGGTTTCCACACAAGCCACAGGGAGTGGCCGATGCGTGGCTCTAGTCCTGAACAATATATTGCGAAAGCCCATTAGCACCTAATCCTGGAGCTGTACAGCTTTCACGGGTTAGGGAAGACCGAACAAAACGAGAGGATGCTGATATGCAACCAATACGCACGCATACCGCATAGTAGATGGATTCAGCTCCGTTGCTAGCGAGATCAAAAAGAAAGCAAAAGTAAAAGGAAGGTTCCACCGAGATTCGAACTCGGGTTGGCGGAATCAGAATCCGCAGTGATAACCAGCTACACTATGGAACCAATCCATATTCTGAAAATCGGAAAATAAAACTGATGATGAATTAGACATGATCTGCCCCATTTGTGCCTGCAGCCATCGAGTAGGATACTGATATATCCACTACTTATATGGGCAATAGCCATGCATCCTATCACAAATATCTATGCACTAACCTAATTCCACTGGTGACTAATAATTAGGTACTTTGCTATCCCCTTATATAAAATTTATCATTAGTGGCCATTTAAAGGTTTAAAATATCAACCTACTGATATTATTAAGGATGCTAGTAGGTGTTCAGAAAACTACCTATTATTATAAGAGTAAGAGTGCTTGGAATAATCAGATTATATCAATAATGATCTAAGCAATGATTAATATCTATTATATATTAGGATAAAGGATATTATTAGTAGCAAATTACAAGCACTTATTATCTATGCTTTTCTCTATAAAGCAGTCTTTATTAAAATATACCACAATAGCCCTCTTGATCAAATACTGAAGCAGAAGGGCAATGAAATCTATAAAATATACTAGTAGTTGCTACTGGTTAGTATATATGAAGATGATTCTTTAGATAAGATTGTTAGGCCAGGTTCAATACTCACAGTGCTAATAACAGAACTGGTCAAATAGCATCTCAGACATAATTAAATAGTATATATCCAAAAGCATTTTATAAAAAGCCAGAAATGAAGGTGTAGCAGCAAAAAAACAAAATGGCCGCTCTTTGAACATGTTCCATAGCAAATCACTTTGGCGACAAAAAGCAAAAATGTGCTGTTGCCTGGAATCGAACCAGGGTCGACACGGCCACAACGTGATGTACTGCCACTATACTACAACAGCCAAAGCCCTTTAAGCGAATTCTGGAATTCTCTGAAAAACAAAATATACATCAACATAAGGACATCAATACACGACTCAACCTGATGCGCAACTTCTCTGCTTTCTCTCTATATCGCTAAGAAATACCAAGTGTCCTGCTTAGCGACTTGAATTAATTCATATCATAGTCGTTGCTCCCCCGCTGCGGCTGTCCCTGACGTCGAAATGTCCGCCAAGCCAGGTGACGGCAAGCCAGGTACCAGCAAGAGCTCTGCTACAGGCCTGCACAACGAAGGTAACATCAGGACCTCTGATGAATTGCACAAATGGCGGCATTGAAGATACATCCATAAAACCTATTTATTCTCTTTTCTCTCCTTTTCTTCGGTATTAAATATCACCATTTATAACCCCCCACACTAAACAAAATGGTAAGTACTGCTGGCCCAAAAAGCATAGTGGCAGCTCCTCCTGCTGTGTTGGTTATTTTTCTGAGTGGAAACCAAGTGCTACAGAATTCGCACAATCCTGGTTATTTTCAAATTAGATAGGCTATATATATATGCAGGACCATACTGTGTGTGTGGGATCTGTCTATTGTAATGGAGATCAGTCCCTCATCATCTGGCACAGTATATTTGAGCTCACTCCACCCTCTTACTATTGGTGATGTAATGGTGATATAATGTGCCAATAGTGCTGTTACAATATACCTAACTATTAGTTGTATGGATGTCTGATCTTTAGATTCGCTACCTGATTAACAGATTCTACCAGTGCCACATATCTGTGTCATTATACATGTCCCATGTTCATTTGTATTTCAAAGCCTAATATTCAATGTTGAATTGTGAAACATAAACTCAGTATTATCTTCTGGACTGAGGTCTTGTAATGTGTTCCTTGTCCGAGCCCTAGTCTTGAATACGATGTGCGACAGGTTACCAAACCGAAGTCTCTGTGCTAATTTCGTACTGCTTAGCCAGTCCATCAGCCCTCAGCTTATCCAGCCACATGCGGAGGTATTCGTGGTGGTGGAAGAAACACTGGTAACAGGGGAAAATAATAATAATCCATGGAGCCAAAATGCTACCGATGCAATCAAATATTGTGTTAATTGATCGCAATTTGAGATCCAGTGCGAATGTAGGATTTGTGACATTCACCACAGTGGTTATCACAAGGTTCACAATGGCAGCGCCAGATATAATAAATGACTCATGGTGCTCTCGGAAGCTAGGCTGGATTTTGCGAATGAGGATCATCAGAGTAAGGTTGGTGAGCCAAATGAGCCACATCAGGGCCATAAATGTGTAACGGAATGGATCTGTGTAATTACACAGCTCGACGCTTTGGATATAGTATGCAATTTTCATCTTGTCAAGGGCAGTGGATGTGATGCAAAATGCCAGAATAGGGACAGCCAATACGATCAGTGGTGCCCAGTAGCTCATACCACATGGCTAGGTCTGCTCTGAACAAATACTCGATAGAGAGCATAGAAGGCGAATCATCACAAAGCAGCCATTGACATAGCAGAAAAGCATCCGGAACCAGGCAGACCAGATTATGCAGTACTTGAATGGTCCTACCAAATGCACATGCCCATTTGTAACAATGTCACCAATAAGCCACAGCGCCGCAGTTATGTACATAGCTGTTGTTGCCAGCAGGTTCTTCCGGCGGATTGGGGGATAGTTGCGGTTCCACCAGGCATATAGTAGGACAAATAAGGTTGCTCCATACATCGATGCTACAGTAATGATAATGGACAGTGATCGACTGGTCCAACAGGGTCAAGCTTGTATCCTAGCGCAGCAGCAATCTACTCCAAGAGCTTATATAGTGACTTAGTGCTTAGAGATATCCTAACCGTTGGTACTGGTACTGAAGTCTAACATACCTGAACTTTCTCTTCGTCTGAAGTACTCCTTATCTGAAGCATTAGTAAGCCTGTTTAGTCTATGCTGTGGCTACTTTGTAGGGATGTAGAGATGAATGGTGGGTTAACGTATGAATAATAAGCAAACAAAAAGTATAGCAATGAGAGATAGCAGTAGTGCAAGTTGCTGACGGTGGAGATGAGCATAGATTCCAAATCAAAGGGGAGCCGTTCCAAGTCTAAACTTATTATATATCATTGACAACGTTCTTAAACCCGAGAAGTATGCAATAGTGAATGTGAATGCAAATGCACAGCAACGGGCTAAGGGATTCACAATTTGCTACTGCTATTCCGTCAAAAGGAATCAGAGGCAAACCAACTAGTTTCAGGGACAGCTTGGGTACAGGCGCATGCGCGGATTTACAAAACAAATACTATCTTTTTATTTGGAGGTGTTTGGGTCTGGCAGAAAGTTGGCTACAGCACTGAGAGAAGCATATGTTTGCTAAAGCTGCGTATTGGTTGTATCTGGTCAAACTGGTCATTGGCGGTTCTAGGTAGCATGCTACCTCATATAGTCCTTCTCTGAAGCAGGTATTCTTAGTACTATTTTTGGCATTGTGTAATGCAAATAAACAAAAAGATTGCCACGATGCCTGCCTTGCATAGATTTCCCTCCCTTGTTGTACCAGGTCCCCATGAGGTGTTCGCATTCCCCTTCGCTGTTTAAGGTTGAGAGAAAGCTAAGATGATATGATGGGGATCCGAATCATGCCTGAGTTTATTAATGAATGGAACCTGGCCGAAAAGCTTATTGACCATATTTTAGCTGTGTAGAGAGCTGCTTTGCACTGCGTGTGGAGTCAGACTGGATATTCAAGCCAAGAGATAGTTCTACCTTCATAAACTGAGGATTCATGCCTTGAATTCTGTGCTGTGGCTGCTGCCCCGTTCAGTAATAGGTTCAATCTGCTGGGATCCTCTGTGGTTGTGGCTCATTATTAGGGCACTCATAAGTATAGTATCGACCAGGAACTGGGGTGGTTTAGGCATTATATTCCTCTTCTAGTTCATTATATACCATCAGTCTCTATCCACTCACTCAGGTACCCATCATGGTGAAGTACAAACAGATAAGCCAAGTATATGAGGATGACAACCATTTGGCCGCTGCTGAAAATAGAGCCACTGGCAACTAGTAGGAAGTTGAATCCTAAAAATTAGCCATATACAGTGAAATGGTGGCAAGCGTGGCTGGTGTCCATGCCAGAAATGCAAATAGAACACATTGGAGAACTAAACCTTGCCTTGCTCCATGAAGGTATACTGCAGTGCAGCGAACCTGGAATAGATAACTGCAACCAACACCTGGAGTGGCCAAGTGACACCAGCAAACCCCTAGCTGAACCTCGTGCTATAACAATAAATGTGAAAAGAGCCACCAAAGTATATCGTGCATTGGGCATTTGCAAACGGGCCAGATAGACAGAGTGCAAGTTAGAGTAAGATAGCTGTCGCTACAGGAAATTATAAAGCATAGTCGCTAGTCGGCTTGTGGTGGACAAACATGCACTCAATAAAACACACCCAGAACGTAGCTACACATAGCTGAGTATGGACTCCACTCACCATTAGTCAGATAGCATAGAGCTTACACAGGCTGTCCATGACATCAACCAGGATGAGGCCGCTAGCACCTTTAACTCCACAACCCCACATCAATCCTCCTACAAATCCAGTGGACACTAGCGGTGGATTTGTGACCCAGATAGGACAATACACGTGGTTTACCAGAGCAGCAACTAGATATGAAAGTGCATCTCTATGCAGCACGCAAATGATGACAGTGCCAACATACCCACTGACACTGGCGGTATCATTTTATGAGTCTGTCAGGGCGTCAGCTGCGGTTGCCCTAGTAATAGTTGTGGGGTGTACAATATCCATGAATGCGATGCTGAGTGCAGAGTAAAGGCAATGATAAAAGCAGTAAGACAGCCTTGAGCTTTTGTCAAGAAAAAAGTATATCTAAAAGTGGGAATTTATTGGTGCCAGTGGCCATCGCCACGAGTACCCACGCATTTTTGTGTTAGAATAATGCCACAAAAGAGATAGTATAGTCGGTTTCCCAGGAACACACAAGCAGCGAACGGAATAAAAATGGGAGCACGATGCAAAAGGAATCGTCAACAACAGGATTTGAACCTGTGCGGGCAGAGCCCAAGTGATTTCTAGTCACTCCCCTTAACCACTCGGGCATATTGACAATCAGCACAGATCACTGATCCGAAACACTCGTGTTGGAAAGTACAAAATTAAAATATACAAGAACAGCAGGATACGCTACTATGTAACTGCTTTCGACATAGCGATGTGCAGTCTTCAGCTCTGCTACCATCGTCTAGCAAGTACCGAAAATTTCTGTCCGCTCTGACCCGATCTGTATCGGTATTGAACTGAGCTGCACTGAAGATATTATTACTTGGGTGTTCAAGTAGATGCAAATGCACAACTGTGATCCAACATACAATGACACATTTGTATCAAGTATTTCTATGAGGGCTAGATAATTTCCATGTCAATATACAGAGTTAAACGCGCTGTTATCTGTCTGATACTGTACTTTAACCAGTATTATTGTGGTGGATCAGCTTTGAGCAATGGCATAGAATCAAGTATATAGATCTATTGTGTCCTACAAAATGTATCTAAACAGGCTGACAAAGCAGATAGCGGTCAATCTGCTATTTAATTTCTGCTGTACACTTGGTATACGTGCCATGAAATATATCAGCAAAATCTTATTGGAAACAAACGGCCATCTAGCATATGATAAAGACAAGGCATTTATACAAGGTCGTTTGTCTTCAGCTGCTTATTTTATTCTGTGGTTACAAAAATTGACAGGTTTCATTTACCTCGAAGGTATACACAATGCCTGCAATAATTTAATCAGCAAGTAGTATGACCAGCAAAGATGGAGGTTTTTGGGAAAGATTTGGTGGTGTCTCTCCTAACTAAGGAGGAAATATGCATACTAATGCTAGCACAACTAATTGTTATGCGTCTGGTGTATCTTCGGTCTGCTGATCGATTGTCACTCAAATCTTTCAGGTCGCAAACCAGCTTCTGTATTTCTGTTAACAACAGCAGCAAAGTTCCAGTGTACATTGCACACTTGAGGCCGATCTTTGGCGAGCCTCCGCATATTATCTTGGAGCACGATTTATCCGAACTGGCCTTACAAAGACATATCCAAAGGCAGTGATTGGCAAAGTCATCACTCGTGTCCTTCGCTTATCCAGAAATTTTAGAACCGGGCCTATCAAACGGCACATAGCGCCAATGAACCAAAAATTTGCTGTAGTTGTGTAGTTTTCTCAGGAATTTAAAGCTGGTTCTTGTCATCTTTGCAACCATTCTGCTCTCGTTTATTCGTTTATTCGCTCCATTTTCTTCACATTTATACCTCCGCCTTAGCTACAACAAAGAGAAGCTTATCCGGCGGTCACTGATGCTTGCAGGATAGCTGCAGCAATGGAGCGTTATGGGCATAAGCTTGACCCATTTGGCAAAGGCGAGAATATAATGATATCTATATGCAGTACCCTCCTGTTTATTACAGGTATGCCTATTGCTTGATCTTGGTGCCATAAAGCATACCATCTGGTTTGTGCAAAAAGCCTCCAGCTTATAACCGCATTATACATCGGTGCCGTCCTGTGGTTTATTGGAGACCTTCACATTAATGGGAATATATGAATTGTTGGTGGTCGGCAGATATGTAAGCTTTTCGATCTATATTTCTATACAGTATGAATATTTGGATATATAATTTCACGTTTCGTGCGCATATATACTATGGATCTCATTTTTATCCAGCAGGGACCAATTAGTGGCTGGCCATTCTATGGTCCCATTGCTGCATTGGTATGCAGCTCTTTCGCTGTCTTCATTTTTAGATTCTCAAGATCCGATTACTGTGAACTACATAGTTTTTCATCCCGTTGTATTTTCTTTTATTTTTGGCTGTGCCACCTGAGCGATTGTATAAAAACCTTTACACTCGCCTCTCCCTTCCTATTTCTTTTAGCTTTCTTTACATCAATATAATACTTGACTTTACCACTTTCTATTGATACCTTGCTCACTCTGCTAGCATATTCTTGGACCGATACATTACTATTCGCATATCTGTTCCGACTATAAACGAAAATTACGCGCATATCTACATAAGGTATCTTTCGTTACTCGTTTCTTATTTCCTTTTCCTCTTGCCCTACACTACCCACCGTGTGCTCTAGATCTACAGTACGCAACTCAGAAATGGCTTTCAATACTTTGAAAACATTGGTTATATGCATCGTCAGGTCGTTTTTGTAAACTATCCTATGACTCGCCACTCGTTGTACCACTTGTACCCCCAGTTTATTGAACACGACACCATCCTGTTTCTACAGCCCATTCTGACACAATGGATGTTACATTGCTATGCCTTTGCATGGGCTTAAAACAGGTATGTTGCATGACCCACCTTCGGTGCGGGAAATGCGATCATGGGTGATAGCCCCGAATTTAGATTGTCAGCACATTATTATTGTCTTCTCGGCAACCTTCAGAAAGAGAAGACCTCAGAAAGGGCGGACCCAACAGCATCGATTTTCAAGCCTTGTTAATCGCCTACTATTAAGAAAGAATTGTTTGACAGTGTAAATCTCTACAGGATAAAACCTGGAGTAGCTTCAACCGACAGGACAAAAGTGTTCCAACCAATTTCTTTAGGGGCCATCCCTACGAGCAAATGGGTTCGCGTCTTTGGCCTACCACTTCTCTTTTAGAAGCGTTCTCATCTTTTCAATTTAGTAAATTATCAATTTTTTTTATTTATTTCCTATGCATTTTCAGAAGAAGGAATATTTTCCCGCCGTCTCTGATGCGACTAGAATAGCCACTGCCCAGGAGTATTTTGAAAAGCACCTAGATCCAGTCGGCCAAGGCGACACGATTATTATCGCTATCTGCATCGTCATGTTTGTCATCACCGGAATCCTCATGGCATACTGCTGGCTGCACGCACACTACCGGCCTATTCGCGCGAAGAACCTGCCTCTGAACACAATCATGCTCTTTGTAAGCTATATTGCATTTTCAGGCAATGTCATTGTCAATGGCCACGTAAATCAGGTTGGCGGGCTTCAGATATGCTCATTATGGGCCATTTGGATACGAGAGTTCTGCACAAACGCTTACTGCACAGCCTTATTCCTTCGGGTGTACGCACTGGATCTCATCTTCATTCAGCGGAGGTCTAACCGGGGAATTGCTTTTTACTTACCTGTTGGGCTCATCCTGGCTGCTATGTTGGCTGCCGCAATTACTTCTCAGCTTGTAAGCGGAAGGCTTGGCACCCAGTTTGTTCCTGGCGCGCAGATATGCGAAATTGGGCCAGTATATAAGTGGACAAATCTATCTATCCTCACACTACTCCAGGTTGCTCAGGTGACCTCATTGTGGAGGGTGAGACGGATTCCGTCGGGCTTCAGCGAAATCCGCGAGTTTTACGTTATCTTCAGCTGTGGGTTCTGCTACGTGATGCAGTCAATTGTCCTCGGAGGTATCATTCGCACATACAACCTCGGGTTCAGTACGCGTACGGTGGTGACTCTATTCAATGCATACATGTCGATGGGCGTCATCTGGATTAGTCTCTATCAGCCTGTCTTTAACCACATATTCCATCGTGAGGAGTATCTGCGAAAGTGGACGAGAAACCTTGCCAACAACGATTTGTTCCTCTTCTACGGTATTAGCGACGCTTCGGAAGGTGCTGATGACGGTGTCCTCTCTTCACCGAATTAACCATGACAAGCCCAACGGACAGACAGGCTTTTGGCATCACAAACACGCTGGCGCAACACACACCACACTAGACTCCTACCATGAGCCAAATGACTTCCAGCAGGCAATTGAAAACCTGCGTGTCCAGAACCGGACAATGGTGGCATTTACAGATGACCTGTGGTCGCACCCGGCAGTCCTACTGGATGACTTGGAGCAAGAGTCCATGCGCCGGATTCTCTGAGACAATATTTATTATTAATATTTATTGGATTTACAAAAATGATAACAAATGTCGATCTACAACGCGCGTGAAAGCCATGGATTGAGGAATAGCAGAAATGTGGGGGTGTGATGCAATCCTCACTTCGTGTTTCATACGCTACATACATATGCAAACCGGAATAGCAACATACAGACCTGTTAGCTCCTAGTTCTCCCGAAGCATGTCTGCCAACTGCATACATTGAATACATGCGATTTCAGATCTTTGTTAACTTGAAACAGACCTTTTATTGGCTCAGACTTATGAGTCCAATATCGGATTACTTTGGCAGTTATCTGTACAAGTCTATTACTGTCTTTACAGTTTCAGATATACAATAAGCAAGCTCTGAGGCGTCTCTAGCCAGTTTGATGTTAGCGCAGAGGACTGTTTTAGCAAGAAACACTGAGATATAGCATCAAGTAGGTATATCAAGTCCTGGGTTATAAGCCCAATACTATTGAGGTTTGAAAGTAGTTATCGACAGAGGAGGGTCATGGCAGCCTGGTGCTTCTGATATCGCTAGAAGGTCGTGCTATCCTATCCGAAATAAAATGTACTATTCAATTATCAGGAGATCTCAGAAGTTTGATCAGGTGATTGGTCGATGGTTCTGCTCGCTTAGCTCAGTCGGTTAGAGCGACGTGCTAATAACGCGTAGGTCACAGGTTCGACCCCTGTAGTGAGCATCTTTTTGCCAACTTGCGTTGTCATTTTTTAATAAATTTTATCCTCAAAGTTTGGTTGCATAGATGTTTTGTGCTAGTACATCAAAGCTGTTGAATATTATGAACTTCGCAAAGACATTGGGAGACTTGTCTATAGTGTGCAAATAGTTAGGCTATTTAGCGGAGATTGCAGGGGCCAGTGTAGAAGGGAGGCGACTTTAAATGCCGGACTCCATAGTTTTTAGTGTTTCAGGCGAGTCTGCTGTCGTGGAGCTTGAGGAGAGTGAATTTAGCAATCGGATTATCGGGGCAGTGCCACACACAGAGTCGTCCTCGAAAAGTTGTCTATTAGATCTCGGGATTGTGTATTCCTTGCACTGGGTGGAGAGGAATAAGCACGTTTCTCAAACACTCATAATTGGTTTCCGAAACCAGAGAAGGAACGGGTACTGTTAGGCTGTGGATCCACGGCGCGAGAGAATGTTTGAGATTGAGGCCATGCTAAAATGACGGCTCATACGCTTGCAGACAGAGTGCAGCAGGTGGATACGGTGGCGAAATAGATGGATTACTCATGAAGAGAATGGGGAGCATGATGTTCTGCACATAATAACCGATAATATACAACGTAATCTGCCTGTTTCTACGCATATGATATCTGGATACAGCTAGGATTAGAATTGTCAGCACAGCAATGAGAACAATGCGGTGTAGGTCTAGAGCACACGGTGGGTGGTGTAGGGCAAGAGAAAAAAGAAAAAGAAAAAAGAAACGAGTAACGAAAGATACCTTATGTAAATATGGCATGTAGTTTCCGTTTATAGTCGGAACAGATATGCGAATAGTAATGTATCGGTCCAAGGAATATGCTAGCAGCGTGGACCAAAGTATTAATAGAAAGCGACAGAGTCAAGTGTTATACTGATGTAAAGAAAGCTAAAGAGAAAGAAAAATGAAAGGCAAGCGTAGAGGTTTCATACCATTGCTCCGGTGGCACAGCAAAAAGGTAGGTGAGAATAAAAGGAAAGACGAATCAACGGGATGAAAAGCTATGTAGTTCACAGTAGTTGGATATTAAGATATTAACACCTGGTTGGTTTTGAGAAAATATGTGCACGGACAGCCATTGCCTCCAGATACATATGATGATGAGCAGGGTCAAAAAAAAGCTAATTGTAGTTGAGATTGTGGTTAGGGTTACATGAATGTTGATGGTTGGCCACATTCAACGAAATGTAGAGGCAGAGTCCATAAAATATTAAAGTTGTATCGTGAATAAAAGTGCGAAAGCTGGGTGATTAAAGAAGAGAAGGATGTAGGCGGCCTTGGCTCTAGTAATTGATAGCGAAAGCAGGCAGATGCCAACCCGGAGACCAGTGTTTTATCTATTGCAGCCCGCTGTTCGGTTTCATTCGTTTAAGCGAGCCATTGCTCTCGGAGTAGAGTGTAGTCTATTATAAGAGGCTCTAGAAGTAGGTGGCAATATCCCTTCACGCAAACGTATACCTGTGTTGCATTGATGGGAGAGCAGTGTTCAGTGTGGGGTGGGAATGGGCGCACCACAACAGATAGACAGTCTCCCCCGCTGTTGCCGTACCAGTTAGTCCAAGCAGAGTGGCGAATAGTTTGCATTAACGCACTGTCTGAGCAGTACTCAGTGAAGCACTATTCTTGATAAACAGGCCTGGGGATGCATGGCCGTCTCAGTTCGACATTGGTGTTTAACGCAATGCGATAGTATGCCTGTTTATTATTTTCTTACTCAATGCAAAAACTAGCAAACGTTCCATTCTACGCAGGAACAAATCTGGCGTATTTGTCTTTTGACTGTGCTTCAATGACATCTTGTATTGACTCTGGCAGCTGCGCGACGATTCTGGCCGGCGGACCATTGGCAACAACAGAGAACGGCGGAATCACTGTGTTCGGCGCAATGACGGCCCCGTCCTCGATTTCGCAGCAGTCCTTGATGAATGGCAAATCTCCCAATAACACAGTTTTTTCCAATACGCACATGCGAGCCTATGGATGCAGCCTCAACTATGGTGTTGGCGCCAATGTCGACGTGGTCACCGATCTTCATTGGGTAGTAGCTGAATACGCCTTTGTAGGTCTTGTAGGGCGGGCGCAGCACTGAAGCCTCGCCCAGAGAGCAGAAGCGGCCAATGAGCACAGCAGCCTGGTGCGTAGGGCCTGCCCGCCGCAGGTCACCACGAATTGTACACTTGCTGTGAACGATTGTCTTGCCGCCCAACACAATGTTCTGGCTACCCGAAATCAGCGACCGGCGACTGACCTTGTTTCCTGTGTCAGTCTCGATAAATTCAGCCTTGTTATAGGTGGTGTAGCTGCTCTCCATTGGTTGTTGTCTGCCAAATGCAGGGAAAGAGAAGGTAATAGTACAGGTGTAGAAATAGGGACGTGGTGTAGGTAAAGGAGGGGGAGGGTGTGCGAAAGCAAAAACTGGTAAACACTGTCCTTGCTGGCTGCGAAAGCATACAAACAGACCGCTGCCGCCCTTGATCAATCAACCTAGAGCTGATCCGACGAGCGGGCTGGAGGGGGCGCACAATTTTTGCACGAAAAAAATCCTCAATTTCGCTTTCCTTCCAATTCGCCCTTGCCTTTTTCAATAAACACTTTCCACTCAATCAAAAATGGTGTCGTCGTTCGTTCGCCCTTCTACTCGGCCTGACGAGATTCACAGCCTGCTCACTGGAGTTGAGCGGTACAATCCGCAAAAGACCACGATTCTCGAGGATTACCTGGCACGCCAGTGCGCCAATGCGGACCCTCTGACCAACCACGATTTGATGGCGAATTTGTCGCTGTTGAAGATGTACCAGTTCAACCCCGATATGGTCGATGTGGATGTAGTGCGGCGCATTTTGGCCAAGGCTCTGATTTCGCCGTCGACGGCTGACTTCAACCTGTGCCTTTACCTCCTGTCGGACGAGATTTGCAGCGACGCGTCCATCAGCAAGCTGCTCACACTCCGGGACTCGCTGGAGCGGGCGCAGTTCACCAAGTTCTGGAAGGAGATGTATGGTGACGACGACGATGAGGAGTCGGTGGTCGATGGGATTGCGGGCTTTGAGAACGGCCTGCGCAAGCTGATCATTGGCAACATCACCAGCACGTACCAGACAATTCCGGCCAAGGCCGTTGAGGAGATGGTCAACCTGGACCAGGACGCGGTGCTGAGCCTGGCTAAAGGAGAACGGGTGGGCAGTTGACAACGGTGTCATCTCGTTGCCGCTCAAGAGCGAGAACAAGGCTGTCGCCACAGTCATCAAGGAGAACGTCAAGTTTGAGCAGCTCACCAAGATGCTCAGCGCTGCTAACGATATCTGAGTGCTAGGCGTATATTCCAGTGTCCTTTTGAACTAACTAAAATCTAAATTACGATTTAACCAACGGTGGATCCTGCTGGCTGGTCTCAAAATTCTGCAGCGTCACTGTGGCCAGGAACCCAGGGATACTGCCGCGCTCTTGGATCCAGTAGCGGATGTCGTTCATGATGCTGTTCAGGTACTCCTTGTTGCCGCCGCCATACAGCTTCATGTCGCCCTTGTTGTCGTCGCCGCTCTTGAATACAAAGCTCTGGTCCAATATCAGAGGCGTACGTGGACGTACAGCGTACTCCACCGTTGCTCAAAAAGTCAAGGCGGTAGCCCATGATTGAGTAAACAGCCTCACGCAGCTCAAAAACCTTCTTCCTCAATTCCTTCTTATAGCGGCGCATCAAAATCACCGAGTTCTCGAGCTGCTTTGCTAGCTCTTGGTTCTCTGTGCGCAGGTTGGCGATGGTCTGGAAGAATGGCGACCCGCTCGGAGGATCCTCAGATTCGCCACTGTCCTCCTCATTATCATTTGCGCTTTCGGACTTGTCGGCAGACGACGTGTCAGTCAGCTTCTTGATATGGGCAAGCAGAGACTCGTTTTCAGTCCACAAGCGCCTTGAGCTTCTTCCGAGCGGATCGCATAGTCCTGGGCCGACGGGTTGTCCTTGAGCTGCAGAATACGAGTTGTGCGAGGGTTATATCCCAGCCCAGATCCAATCTGGTGCTCGAGACGCGCTGCCTCCTTCTCCAGCTCCTCAAAGCGTTCCATCAGCTGGTCGTAGCTGCGCCTACTGGCCAGCAGCTCCTGCTCCTTCCTCTCAACATCCTCGCGATACCCCTGCAGCACAGCAGCTGACAATGTACCAGGCCTCAGTCTTGATCGAGGGCTGCGACTCACCACCCTCGAGACTCGAGATCCAGACGCGCTGCTCATCAATAAACAGCTCCAGTTGCTTGATCCGCTCTGTCTTTTGCGCATCATAGTTGCCTGCCATCATAGCCACCTCCTCGTTGTCGTACGAATGGAGCTGTGACCGCAAAAAGTCTGTCCTCGCGCAGTGCGTACTGCTTTGATCTCTCGAGCTGAATGGCCCGCCGCTTCTCCTTTGTCAGCTGCTCGTCAATCTGCGAGTACTGCAGCTTATATGACTCGAGTTCAGTGACGGTCGACTGCAAATCGCGGGTTGCACTATCAACGGTTTCCTGCATCGTTTCGACTTTGGTTTCGAGGAGCGAGATCTTGTGTCGCTGTGTTGCAACCGTATTGGCGACGGCGTAGGGCGAGTCAATAGGGACGTTCAGGCTCATCAGGCGGGCTCTTCTGGCCATCAGCCTTGTGACCCTGGAAAACCTTGCGCCATTGCTCGCGCTCCTGCTTGAGAATGCTAAGCTGGGCTTCAAGCTCAGCAAAGTTCTCATGCTGTCCCTCGAGCCGATTAACCTTGGCCTGCAGCGCCTGGTTAGACTCGAGCTCCTTGGCGTACTTGCTGGCAAGCTCCTTGGCGTGCTGGGCTTCGGCTTTGAGCTTCTGGTTCTGGTTCTCAAGGGCCTTGATATATGTGCATTGCTCATGCAGGTCTCGCTCCAGCTGGAACGATGCGGGCACGCGATGGCGTCGAAATATCGTGGTGGCCAGATTGCTGCCGTTGCACAAGCTCCCTGAGATCCTCCTCTGTGGCAAAGAGCTTCTTTTGTAGGGCATCAACTGTGTACTGCAACGCCTTGTCCTGGGAACTTCCAGTACTGGCCACAGCTGCCTCTAGCCGCGCCTTCAGCTCGCCGGCCTTATGCTCAGCTCTGATCAGCTTGTCGTGCAATGCGCCGATCTCGGCAACATGCTCCTTCTTCACATTTCGGAATGCCTGTTCTGCCTCCTCAACCTGCAGCGCCTTCTGACGGTACTCAGCGATGACCTGTTCGATTTTTTGTTTGTACCGCTCCTTCTGCCGCCTCACCTCCGCCTCCAGCTCCTTGTGCTGGTCGGAAAACTGTTCTTCCTGGCCAACCAGCCATTTCCGGTCCCGCTCGAGCTTTTCGATACGCTTGGCCTGCTTCAAAACATCTGCTTCCAGCGACTGCTTCACTCGCGCTGCTTCCTCACGGTCTTTTTCGCGATCCAGCTCCACCTGCCTGAGTTCAAACTTGGCCCGCTCCAGCTCACGCTTCATAGATTCCATCTTGCCCACACACTCTGTTTCCTTGCGCGCCGAGTCTAGAATGCTGCGTGCAGGCGAAGACTCTGCAAATAGCGAGGTCCCGAGAAAGCTACCTGTTGGAGACCCAGAAAACAGTCGTGTGGGCTGTAGGCCACCGCGCAGAATAGGTGTTTTATATGGCGATAAACCTAGAAGGTGTTCTTCGCGCACAGGTGTCTCAATCTGGCTGTATCTTGATTTTTGGCGGTCATTTGGGCTGTCGTCGGCCAGGAGGCGCTTGGTGCCGCGAGATATTGAGCTTGGTGGTTGCTGGGTGGGTCTTTCCACCATGTCACGAAAGCGCGAGCGAATAGCTGTAGAGGGCGGAACTGTGGGCTGCTCGGTGCTAGTCGCTCGGCCGGCTAGGCTGGCATGGCGCTGGCCCGTTGATACCTTTGGCGTCTCTACCGCTTTGCGCCTATCGCCACCGGCGCTACTTTCTGGATACATAGAAGGGATGTAAAGCGGTTATTCGAAAGATAATAGAAAATTGTGGTGGGCATCGTGTCGCTGGCTAGCAAAATAAAATTTAAATTGATCAATCATGCAAAGCAGATATGGGCAAAGGCAAAACTCGAACCCTTGGTAGCGATGCCTGCTTTCAAATTAGAGAGACATACACTTGGGTTCCAAGAACTATGCTCTGCTAGTTCCTTGGGCGAAAGGGCATCGCCCTAAGCCGAGGGCACCTACTAAGTGCCAAGTCAGCGAGCCCTTTGGTGGGGGGATGTGCTATGGATCAGGGGTCGGCTTGAGCCGCGATTCAGTCCTCGATAAAAACACATGGTGGGCGAGTTTCTGCATTTGGCTGTTTGAACAATTTCTCTTTCCTTCTGCACCAGTAACTCAAATTCAAACAATGGCAAAGAAATTCAAGGGCGAGAACAGCAAGGTAGCAGCTGCCAAGGAGAAGAAGGCTGCCACACAGGCTGTCAAGGACACAAAGAAGCGTGCCGAACAAGAGGCGAAGGATTCTGCCGCATGGGCCGTGGGCTCGAAGAAGAACGACAAGAAGGCGGAGCAGGAAGCGAAGCGCTTGGAGAAGCTGGCCCGGAAACAGGAAGCCGATGCTCTCCTTGCTGCCGAGAACAAGAGCATCGCCGGCTCTTTGAAGGGCAAGACCGGGCCAGCCAAGCTGGGCCCAGCTAAGCCTGTACGCCCTGCACGCGGCGCCGAAAAGAAGGCCGAAGCCAAATCAGCAGCAGTCCACTCGGCAGCTGAGGCCAGCAAGCCTGTCGAGTCATTCGCCGCGCGCAACATTGACGACGCGCTGGATCTGATGAACTCAATCGGTGACGAGCCTGTGGCTACTGGTGGTGCGCAGGCAAAGAAGGGCGGTGTGGCAGCGCTGGTGGATCGCCACCCAGAGAGGAGAGCGAAGGCGGCGTACAAGGCATTTGAGGATCGCGAGCTGGATCGTTTGAAGTCGGAGAATCCGGGGCTCCGGCTTACGCAGCTGAAGCAGCTTCTGTGGAAGGAGTGGCAAAAGTCGCCAGATAACCCGTTCAACCAAGTGATGATTGAGCAGAATGCCACAGCAGAGGAAATTAACAGAGTCATTGAGGAGCAGAGGCAGAATATGCAGGACCGTCTCAGGATCGAGTGAACTACATAAATATGTCTTACCTAGGCCAATCCACCACATCATGTAATGAGAGACTATAGCGTAGTGCCTTATTCCGGCAGGATATCTACATGCGCTGTTGTGCACAAGGTCAGTAGGCGGGCTGCTGCATGCTGGTGTTGATTATAGCATCTTCAGTCCAGCCTGCAGTGCCCCTGATCCTGGCTGGCAGCCTCGCGCAGACATGAAAGACCGTAATTCACCACCGTTGGATATCCTCCCAACACTATCTCGCTGCATCTACTGTCCGCTTCAGCATTCATTCACTTGGTCCGGTTAGGCTTGTAGACTCCACAGGTTCTGGGGAAAATTGCTAACCACACCTGCGCCAGAGCATGGAAACAGGTCTTGTACATGTCGAGCCTGCCCTTTATTTTTAGTTTCACAGGTAATGGAAATCCACAACAGTCGTTCGATCGCCTAGCGTCTTTGTAAAAATTGCTTTCAAACTCAGAAAATTCCTTGGCATCTCATCTCCTCGTTTCCATTTACGAATGCGTATTTTCAGCAAGTTGGCCGGAGCCTGCTACCAAAGTTTTTCGGACAGCAATTGCCAAGCCTGCTCGTGTCTCCTGAATGTGGCCACCACCTGGTAATGGTTCACAGCTGCGAATATAAAAGCACAGGCGTTCCTCGCAGACATACTGCACTTTCATTATCAATAACACCAATCAGCAGTTCTACATCAGTCTTTCACCCCCACCTGCATCCAGAAATGAAGATCACTGCCTTTACCCTAGGATTCCTCGCAGCCGCAGCCTCTGCTGCGCCAGCTGCCAACGCTGCCTCAGGTAATAGCGCTTGCACCAAGACGCTTGCGCTCAAGATCACCAACATTTACGAGAACGGCGACACCAACTTCCACTACGACTACTGCGAGAACATCAAGGACGGGCGCGGGTTCACCTCTGGCATCTCCGGGTTCTGCACCGGCACTGCCGACGCATGGGAGGTGGTCCAGCAGTACCACAAACTGACAGGCGGCAAGGACTCCTTCAGCAAGTACGACGGTGTACTGAAGAAGTATGCCCAGTCCGGCAGTGACTCGACCAGCGGGCTCGACGGATACTGCTCGGTGTGGTCGAAGCTGGGCAAGTCTGACGCAAAGTTCCGCAAGGCGCAGGACTCGATCCGCGACAGCATGTACTATAACCCATCGCAGAAGCTTGCGGACCAGCTCGGACTCAAGCTGAGCATCAGCCGCGCGCAGCTGTACGACTGCGGCATCCAGCACGGCACTGGATCGGACGCCGACGGACTGGCTGGGCTGATCAAGACCACCAACGCGTCGTTCAAGGCCGATGCCAAGGGCAGCTCGGGTAGCACGCTAAAGATCAACGGCCACAACGTCGACGAGGTTGCCTGGCTGACAAAGTTCCTGCAGGTGCGCACCAACGACCTGCTCCACCCGAAGGAGAAGGAGAACGCCTCGGGCGCATGGAAGGAGACGCTGTACCGCGTAAAGTCGTACCAGTACGCTCTCAGCAAGAAGCAATACAACTGGACCAAGTCGGTGCAAGTCCTCGACAACGATGGCAAGCCTGTCACTGTCTCGTGCTGAGCTCTTCTATGTTACCTTCAATCTATTCTAGTTGTCTCTAGCTATGTTCCAATAACTAATGTAGGGAAAGATCACCTAAACGTTAGAGCATTTAGCAATCTAAAGTTATGTCTACTACACGTAGTCATACATGGAAGTACAAAATGCGTAGAAGCTACAGTTATAATTCGTACGCAACGGCAACTGCAGCACTGGCAAATCTTGCTAGAGTTGTTCTACATTGGCATCCAAAATATCAAGCGACATACGTAATAGCTCGACTTGTGAACACAGTATTTATTTCACTTGTAGAATTCCACCCAAGACACAAGGATATGGTTAGAAGTGGTATGTCCTGGAGATTGGGTCATACCTTGGCCCTTGCTGTAGAGTCCATGTATACATGTGCTCCTGTTCAAGTGTGAATGGCGGGGCATTCTTCACCTGTACAAACGTGTGGTTACCAACAAGCACATCCTGCCAGTAGCGGTTTGCTTTTTGTTCGCGCTCTTTCACCTTGCGGCGGTACTGATCAAGTGCTTCTTGTGAAAGAACTGCATGCACAAAATCTGGATGGAGAACAAGAACTTCTCCACCAACCTGGCCGAATCCGAATGATGTAAGAAGAGCGGCACTAATCCCTGGCGTCTGGATTGACTTGCTCGGGAAAACAAGGTGGCTGCACTCTACAAGTTCGGACATGACGTTATCCAGATTGCGATTTCCTGGTACAATTCCCGTCTGCATGCACTGAATCACACCGCTGAGCATCCAGGCCGCCGCTGGTCCTCTGGGGTGTCCGGTCAGCCATTTCTGGCACACTGCAGGAAGAGCATATCCATGTGTGCGGCCAAGCTTCTTGAGCTGCTGGTCGATCACATGGGGTTCGTTTTTATCGCTGGCAACTGTGGACGTTGCATGCAGAGACACCATGTCAACGTCGTCTATTGTCAGCCCCCATGTTGCTAGCGAGCCGCGCAATGGAGAGATGGCGGGATCGTTCCTCCAGAATTCGTTGCTCCATTCGTCTTGTGCATTTTTGATCATTTGCTGTGCCTTTCTTTCAATACAGACTTCGTTTGACCGCACAAACTCTTCATCGTCAAACTTGGAACTGTCATGCAAAACTTTGAGAGCTTCAAGCTCAGTCTGTAGCCCCTCCTTCTCCTCTTGTGTCCATGAACTAATATCTGCCAGCTTAGCCTGAAGTTTGCGACGGCGGTACCTGAAATCAAGCATGAGCGAAGGTATTGCGCTCGGTGACTCCCGAACTGTCGTCAGAATCCCTTGACCTGGTGCAGGTACTGTGCGGCCTTCCTTATCTGTTGCAGTCGCTGTCATAGCAAGAACGCCGTATATGGGCGCTCCGCACTGAATTGCAGCACTTGCAGACATCAGAATCAGCATTCCCGACCCAATACTTTCAACAAACCCACTGCGGGTGGTTGTGCAAGGGCGAGACATTTCTTTAGGCGTACGGCCTATCGCATGCTCCTCCAGTGCATCAGCAGTTGCCTTAATCTGCGCTGTTGTAGAGGCAACATTTCGCGAATACGAGTCAGATGCACCAGCAATCATCACCTTCGCTTTCCCCAACTGGATTGTCTCCACGGCAACATCCAGTGATATGGCCACTGTTCCACATGCACCAACAGTAGCTTTGATCGGACCTGAGGACGACATGAGTAACATGTTTGTCCATGCTGCAATAGTGTTGATGAATAGCTCTTGAGTGGCATTAGTTTTCACTTCTTTGTCAAGCATATGGTCCGCAAATATGTCTTTCATTGCACCAGTACCACCAGCACAGGATCCAGTTGAATTACCGATTTCTGACACATGGAAGTATTTGAAGAGCTCATAGGGATCGGTAATGCCTGAGCGTAAAAGTGCCTCCACAGTTGAAATGATGCTGTAGATAGTCACAGGGTCAGCAATCTCAATGATATCATCGGGTATTCCATAGCGCTTAGGATCCCATCCAGTTGGTAACTGACCAACAGCAGTACGGTCAAATGGCACAGCTTTCTGAACAGAAATGAGAGCGCCTCTGCGGAACTTGACTGACCACGATCCATCGCTGTTTTCCCAAGTGTCAACCTTATCCCCATTTCCAGCTCTAAAATACCTTGCCTCTTCAGCAGTCGCCTCAAATGGCTCCAGATCATGCACTACCTGCACCTCGCGGAGCATAGTGAATATGTTAGGATCAGCCCCACCAATTGTAGCAGGCTCTAGAGTGCGGATACCTGTATGTTCGAGAATATAGGGTTCATACTTTGCTTTAGCATCTCTATCATGGACAGGTAAGCCTGTGCTGGCATCAACCCACCCAACATATGGGTGGTCACCTGCCGGTAAGAGTCCATTATGATGCCTGATCAAGCCCATCATCCAGGCCAGCTCGATGCACCCTTCAAGTGAGAACTTGCCCTGTGCCTCCATCTCCCAGCGAGTATTGGAATGACCATGAGGACCAAATTCGCCATAGCCAGTCACAACCACTACCTTATCAAGGTTGATTATACCTTCTAGGTAGCGTAGGTTGTGAAGCTGGTCATATGATTTAACTTTGGGTAGCCTAATGCTATTGTAAGCCAACAGATTTGAAGTATGATATGTATATATCTTGCTCAGCATGCCATTTGTGATGATATGATTATCATATGCTATGGTGTATGATGCGTGCCTCCTGCTAGCTGAGGCATTGAGCAAGTCAGAACGATATCTAAGTAAACCACTCATTTGACTGATGTTTGCTTGGAAACCGCCATCTAGCTCTGCAAAAAGGGGGATGGTATTGGCAAGATCTTGAATATCTGAGTGAAGCAGACAGAGAATGTTGAAGGCCATCTCATTTGTTGAGAACGTCTGCGTGCCACGTCTTTCAGCCTCGTAGGAAATGACATCAAGGGCATCCACCATATTTGTCCCTCGTGTCCATCCAATGACTGCTCCAATGACAGATATATATTTTGACCATGTTTCCGACTTCCACCGATTAAGCAATGTCTCAAGACTTGCCTTGGATTCACCATAAAATCCATCACCACCAAAGCAACCATGGTTTGGAGAAAGCGGTAGCAGTACTAAACTTGGAGAAATATCTAGCCCCTTACTTGACTTAATTGTCGCAATTGCACCAACCAAACGCATAAGGTTCGTCATCATGACTCTAAGTGCAAGCTCTGAATGCGATTCAAGCGAGGCCATGTCACTGCCAATGTCAGAAACAGAGGCAAATGGAATTATGAAGTCGAGATCCCAGTTCAGCCCATTTCTGCTGAAGATATGGTCCACAAGACTTTCAATGTCGGCAACCGATCCTTGGTTGAATGGGAACACATGCAGGTCTGATCCACGGGCTCCATACTGCCGGTATATTTCCTCAAAGTACATCGTTGTCTTGTGGCTGTAGCTGGATGTAGTGGCGACTACCTTTGCACCTCCAGAGAGAAGACCCTTTAAGATGTCACTGCCAATGGAGCCACGGCCACATCCAGTAATCAACATGGTCTTTTCCTCAAATGTGAGTCCAGCTGTGCACACCTCATTCATTGCGTCAAAATAGACCTCTGTCAGTTCACTATTATAGACCCAGCTGCAGTCGCTCTGTTGACTACGCATATGGAGTAGCGGATTTCCATCCACACACATGCTGTGCATGTTTGATGCATATTCTTTATATGTGGGTTCACCCTTCCTGGGTACCGAGGTGTACCTAATATCGCCTTCTAAGGCTATTTCTGTGCTTGGGCTTGTTATGCTTCCAAAGCCCTTGAATACTGGCGAGGATGACAGAGCCAGCCTGCAACCGTCAATGATGGCATTAAGCTTAGAAATAGTACGACTAACATCTGCAGCCGTTCGCTTAGTGAGAATTGTGGATAATCCTTCAGCCAAGCCTATCAGTGAAGCATGGGACCGGTTTTCAAGCATGAGCATTCTCTCTGGGCTAATATCGCTACTGCCCAGAAGAGATGAGTTTACCCATTCAAATAGGTCCTGCTATGCCCAATTCCAGAATGAGTCATAATGTCGGCCCTTCTTGGCATCAAACATTGGATGAGTGCCGTGTAAGTAATCTTCGCCTAACTCGCTCCTAATGAGGTCTATCTCTGACTGCAGCATGCTATTCTCAGCCCTTGCCATTTCCCAGTGTCGGCCATCTTGACGGAGGTCAACACTGGCTTAGCATGCGAGGACCTCGACCTGGCACAATATGTGTGCGCGCTGTTCATCCTGTGCCTTGACAAACTCAGCGCTATTGATGGTAGCGTTGGCCAGACCAGCAGCAGCCCCACCACCGGGGGAATGATCAGTTATGTATGCTATACCCTCGCGCCTACCATACATCTCAGCAACATTGCGAATCCATCCATCCACTTCAGTGTCGCTTTGGAGTCTGCTTGGTGGCTCCATTGTCAATGCCAAGAGAAGAATGCCCAAACACCGCTGGGGTCCAAGGCCATATGCAGCTTCCAAATGAGACCGAAGGGCTGACTGAGTATAGTTGCTGGGGATCTTGGTTGCAAACATACGAGCCAAGTGTGAGCTAATCTGCTTCCCAAATGTACCATTAAATACCCCAATCTTTGCGGCAAGATCACTGAGGCTCATTTCCTCTGCCTTGTCAGGGATCTTGCTGCTGAATTCTTTCTGGAGCTCGCTGGCAATTTCGTTTTGCAGTGTTGATTTTCCACTTGATAACTCCTTGATCGTCTTACTTGTGGAAATGCCACTAGCAGTCCTTTTCATCTTTAATTCAATAAGCGCCTGGACTATGTCTAGAGTTTTGACAGGAGCATCAGTAATAGCCTGTGCAGCAGAAGGTATGGTAATGGGGGATGGGGCTGAAGCAGCTACTTTTGGTGCGTGCTGAATCGTTTCGGTTTCAGGTATACCCAGTAGCTCTACCTCATCTGAGCTCACTTCATTTGACTCAGGGGTATATGAATAGGTCAATTCGAGTTCATCTTGGATCGCATGGAGTATGGCGACATTTACCCTCTTGTATTTTTGGATCTCCAGTGTTCTCTCTGCCATTCTTGTCAGTGTTGGTACCGATCCGATCTCAATAAAGCGGCGCACTGGGCTCAATCTGAAAAGTGTATCCTGTGTTTCAATCCACCGGACTGGCGAGGCAAACTGATATGCGAGGAGTTCAACAAGGATAATCCGGGCAAGTTTTGTTAGCCGGGGGCGAGGCATATCCTGGATATCGTCCCATCTGCTCAATTCGACTGCTAGCACAGGTGATCTGGTAATGCTAAACACATCCTCGAGATACTCTTTTGACACCTCAAATGGCCTAGCTGTAACATTTGGGATGTAAATGTGCTTGAGCTCATCGTAGTTGACACCATCCTCATGTAACTTATCCAAGAGATACCTGCGGAATGATGCAACTGCAGGCAGGAGCTGTGTTGAGTGAGATGGAACATCGATTCCTGGCAATGGAATCAATGAATGTCCACGCTTTGGTGTAATATCCCGAGTTCCCTGAGCAAGAATACCATGGATTATATTTGCAACGTCATCCCTCCCATAATCAGATGCGACATTGATCATGCAGGCATAGATGGTATCAAGGACTTGGCCCAGAGCACTGAGCATAGCATGATGACCTGCAACAACATACTGCTGGCCAGAAACATTGTGGTTGATCAGCTCAAGAAGTGAGTTTCCTTGCGTTCTGATTGTATCGATGACCAGCTCTAATGAGCCTTGGTCAAAACCATTCCCCACGCAACCTGGGTTGACAGCAGCCATTCCATACTGGAGGCCATTCATAAATATAAAAGTTTAAAGAAACTAAATATCTGTTAACAGAATAACCAATTAACAAATAAGAAATCAATTACTAACAGTAGATAAATATTTTAAAAAACAGAATGTTTAGCAATGGCCAAAAAGATTCTAGCAACTAGATTAACAAACAAACAAAGATGCCAAATATGGTGCTTCTACGAAACCCCCTTCGGCATCCTGAAAAATTTCAGTTGATTTCTCGGGACGCAGCCTCTATCTCAGTAGAAGCATATTAATTGTGTATCAACTGAAATTTTTCAGGATGCCGAAGGGGGTTTCATAGAAGCACCATATTTGGCATCAGAACAAGAAAACAATAAAAATATTAATAATTATTAAATAGCTAACCATTTCTGACTGATCTCCTTATAGAATTAGATTTATTCAAAAGCTGCCATTTTAAAACATCATGTTCAAGTCATCAAGTCGTTATCATCCTATTTATAACTATTTATCTAATACCAAGCAATCATATAACTCATCAATTTTAGAAAGTATCAAACTATACCATTTTAAAAAATCATAATAAATTCATCAAGTTGTTAGAATCCCATCTGTAATTAATAGATATGCACCAAGCAATCATATGTGTCATCAATTTTAGAAAGAATCAAGCTGTGCTATTTTAAAACATCAAATTCAAGTCATCAAGTCATTAGTACTCCATCTGTAATTAATCAATATGCACCAAGCAATCATATGTATCATCAATTTTAGATTGAAGGAATCGATTTTGAATTTCAACAATAGATGCTTCTAACTCTGCTTTTTGGGGCAAAGTATGTATTGGTTCCACTTGTGTTGACTTATCATGTGTATCAGGGTAATCAAAGTTGCTCATAACCCAGAGTGAGTGATGATGATCAATATGTACATCACTGTTTGCTAGTATCTTCTTCATATTATAGAGTAAGCAGCATAACTTCATTTGCACATTGTAAACATTCCTATTCTTTACTCTAACAATCTCCCTGTTTGACAGCCTTTTGAATGTATTGCCTAGTTCTCCAAATGTATTTTCTACCATTGAACGGAATGATCCAAGATGGGAATTATATTCAGCTTCTGTTTCTGATAAGCTTGTTCCTCTCTGCTTTCTTACTGGTAAACAAAAGTTGTGCAGTCCAAAAGTATCCTGCTCTTCTTCCTCAGTCATCTCTTCCAAAATACTTTGTGGATAACCACCATCAAGCACAATACAATCAATAGGTGATATATTCTTCAGCAACCCCATGTTCTTAATCATTCTTGAGTCTGGGTGATCTCTACAGTCTTCAGTTGGTGAAACAAGTAGAACCATTCCATTCACATCAATGCATAGTTGTGTGCGATATCCTGATTTTTTCAATTTGAAGGAATAGAGATCTGGTTTGTATGCTCCATTGTGTAGTGCTCTTGAGTCATGGCCATCTAACATTAGTGTAACATGTTTAAACCCTTGAGGATTCTGTATCTTTGCTGCAAAGACTCGTAGTTCTGGAGTTGAAAACATTGTTTGCAGATAGTATGTTAGCTTCTTATTCAAATCTTTCATTTCAGAAATATAAAACATATTATGAATAGCTTGATAGCTACTCCTAGGAATAAATCTTTCCATTTCATTGATAGATAATCCTTCTACAAGTTGGTATATGATGAGCAGTCCTTTCTCTACACTTCTGTAAGGACATGGATAATGAGTGCAACCAAATAAAACATTCAGAAAGAAGAAAACAGGAATCATCCCTAGATGTTTAAGAAGTGTGTCCTTGATAAGTTTAATTTCTCTTACTTCACGAACTTCACTTCTGTGATATTTTGTATGTTTTAGAATTACCCAGTCATCATTCAGAAACTTCCATTTGTTTGTGTACAGTTTGTGATACTCCTTTTCTCTGAGTTCTTGTAATTGATGATTCATCATTGTGAGGCACTCATAAATTTAAAAGTTGTCATTTATTGCAATGGGCCCATTCTACAAATTCTTCAACACTCGACTTGCTGAGCTAGATGAGGAAGAGAGAGAAAAGCTAGTCCAACTACTTAGCAAAAATTTCAATATGAGCAGAAAATTAACAGTATATATCAGAGCTTGGATCAGGAATGTTTCAGAAGATAGGGGTGTTACTATTAAGCATGTGTTTGATGTATGCAACTACAGTTGTGCAGATATGGAGGTAATGGTTGCTAACTGCCCATTTTAAAACTAGATCCTCTCAGTATGGATAATACGATTATGAATTCTAGTTACTTTAAGTACCACTTCTTGACTTGGTTCACCAATAATAGAAGCAATATATTCTCCAAATGGACTACTTGCTTGTATTTTGATATGAGTGTGAGTACTGCTAACTACTTCATTGTGAATCATATAGATATCTAGATAATAGAATAGCAACCCTCTAAAAGTATATAAGAAATAATGACTAACTAGGAACTCATCTCCAACATGAAGTATGTTATAAGCAACTTTATATCTAGCTGGCCTAAGATCAGTATTTTCTCTTATATATGTGGGTTCTAGATCATCAAGTTCAATGTTGCTAATATCAGCAATAAGATTATCTATTCCTAGGTCATCAGTATCCTCACTAACACTTGAGAGAGTTGAAAGCCTAACTTTCTCTCTTGCTTGTTGAGCTGTTAACCAATTAATATGCATTCCATGATAGTTAACAAGTCCCATTTCAGCAAATGTGTGTTGTTGCCTTTCTCTTGAAACAACAGGCCAGAAAGAATTTTTCTGACTAGGAACAATAGTGATGTTTGTGATATCTCTTCTCAGAACAACTTCAGATTCAAGAGGACCACTACTGGTAGCATATGTAAGAAGAAGAGTTGGGTGTCCATTAAATGTAAGATTAGAAACAACAGTCATCATATCTTCATTCTCTTTCAACTTTTTAGCTATTCCTTGTTTCTTCTTAGTTGTCCTATTGAACCAATGGCAATAAGCAAGAGCATGTTCTTTATGAAAGTAAATACACAATGTATGTTTGTTATGAATCTGATCAACTAGTGCCATCCATTGCTTTTCATAAGATGTTGCAAATGTCCTACAATCACTAAGAAACTCTAGTGTACTAGCAATTAAGTTTGTGTTCCATTCTACTTCTTTCAACTCAGGAGAGTGAACAGTAAGCTCAAGTCTCATTAATCCTTCATTCCTACAAGCAACAAGTGTTTCACCAAACTGTTGAGAAGTTGGCATCACTAGCTCTGATAGCTTAGAAGTAAGTTGATTGCGAACCTCACCACTTTCTAGAAGTTGAACAAATTTATTATACAACTTGTTCCTAATTCTTATTTCATCTTCATCAGTAAACCAGCTAATACAGTTTGCTCCAACTTTATCTTCATCATCAAGAATATCATTGCTACTGATTCCAGTATCAAGAAGAAATTCCTTAATCACAGCCCTAGAAGATATGTTTAGACAATCCATTGTAATATCATAGTTCAGAAGAAATACATGTTCCTGATGCATCCTAAGAAAGATATCAGTTAGTGCAGGATCAGCTATTGCAACATTTGGAGCAGATACTTTGTAAACAGAGACTTTACCATTTCTCATACTTACCATGCACTTCATATACTTAAATCTGTATCCATCACCAAAAACTCTATGCAATCTATCAAAAGGAGTAATATTGTTAATCTGATCTATAAGAGCATATGATTCAGGTATCTCAACAACACATGAATCCATAAAGATATCAGAATGCTGAATAAATCCTTGCTGTTCAATGCCATTACTAGTATATCTTGCATCAGATATATCAGGCATATTATCTCTATTCTTCAACTCAAGTCCCAAAAGGGAGTTAAGATGTACTCTTAAGGAGGCCATTCATAAATATAAAAGTTTAAAGAAACTAAATATCTGTTAACAGAATAACCAATTAACAAATAAGAAATCAATTACTAACAGTAGATAAATATTTTAAAAAACAGAATGTTTAGCAATGGCCAAAAAGATTCTAGCAACTAGATTAACAAACAAACAAAGATGCCAAATATGGTGCTTCTACGAAACCCCCTTCGGCATCCTGAAAAATTTCAGTTGATACACAATTAATATGCTTCTACTGAGATAGAGGCTGCGTCCCGAGAAATCAACTGAAATTTTTCAGGATGCCGAAGGGGGTTTTGTAGAAGCACCATATTTGGCATCAGAACAAG